GAAAGAACTCCTTGCTATATAAACTTGAAAAAAAAACCCAGCACCCAAGAGGGAAGACGTAAAAAAAAAAAAAAAAAAAAGATAAATGAATAGGCATTTGAAAAGGTCCTATAATTTTGTAAAGAAATATATGGTAAAAATATATTATAAAATATAGGTAACATATAATGCTGGCCTAAAAAAAGTGAATGCTGAATAAAATTAGATTGTTGCATTAAATTAGAATATTGAATTAAGTTCACTTGTTGTACTGAATTAGATTGCTATATTAAATTAGATTGTTGTAATAGATTAAATTGTTGTATTAGATTAGGTTGTTGTATTAAATTAGGCTGTTGAATTAAATTAAATTGTTGTGATGAATTAAATTGTTGCATTAAATTAAATCATTGCATTAAATTATATTGTTGTATCAAATTAGGTTGTTCTATTGAATTGAGTTGTTGTACTGAATTAGAGAGCTGAATTTGATTAAATTGTATAGATAGTTAAATTTGATTGAACTGCATAGAGCTAGATGATTGAATTTAATCAAACTGCATAGAACTAAATTGCAATTGTGATGATACTTTCACTTTTCTTAAATATTTATATACAAATAAAGTATGTGTAGGCGATTCTGTTGGTAATACTATTGCTTTATTCTATATGATCCAAAAATCAATTATATTAATATATATATATTTTTTAAAATTTGCTTATAAATTTCTTACAATTTCAGATACCCAAATGAAAGCATCATAAAAGTAATTTTGACATAATTTTTTTTAGCACCATCCTTATTTAAATATGGTCTATTATGAATTATGCAATAGTTTTTGTTTTGAATTTTTAAAACATTTTTTGCAATTGATAATTCAATTAAAGAAAGATTTGAAGTTTTAGGAATAGAGTTTTTGATTTCAAATTCACAATAAAGTTATTATCTGTATTATTATTAGATTCAAGATCTTAAATAAAAGATATAAAGTTATTTTTATATAATATTATTTAATATAAATATAAAAATTTAAATTTACATTTACTTTTTACTTTAAACTTAAGCTAACAAATATTATAAAGAAAGCCATATTGATATTTTGGATCTATATTTCTGGTAGTCTGATTGAAATTTTTTGAAGTCTTGAGTGTCAACTAGCTAAATACTCACTCTAGCTGCCTTTTGGATTTAAATATAATACAGTAATTATTTGGATCAATTAGTCTTTTTCTAATTAAAGTTTCAATATTTATATAAATTTTTAAACCTAATTTATCAACCATAGATACTTTAACTGTATACTATTTTGCTAGAAGAGACGCTCTATTTTCCAATTTGATAAAAATACCATATGTATATTTATATTTAACTTCCTCATCTGATAAAAGCTCTTTATTATCATGATCTTTATATTCTTTTCTATCTTTTTTTATCTGATTTTTGATCAAGCTTTCTTTAGATTCAGATATATCACTTGATAGAGTAGTAAGATCACATGTTTCTACTTCTGAAAAGTTATCATTATTTGCAAATATAGAATTTGATGTTGCTTTAAGCTTTTTTGCTTTCAAAGATAATCTTAATAAAATACTATTTCATCAAGAGTATAAAGTAAAATTAAAAGCCTCCTTTAAACTCAATAAATAATTATATTGTTAGATTTTTTGGTAGACAAATTCTACTTGCTCTTTTATCTAGTTTGGATTAAATACTCATATAAATGCATATTTGATAGTATCTGTCTAATTACTTTTATGTGGCAAATTAGATAAATTGCAGTAATGTTTTTCTTGCTACAAATTAATTCCACAGTACATGTATTTTTGGCAACTAAACAAGTTCCTTAGTGATATTTTAATTTTGTTTCTTGAAAATCAGTCATTTTTTGAAAAAAAATATATGTATATAAAAAAAAGTAGAGCACAATAGTCTTATATAAATATGTAATATATATATTAAATCACTGATTAAAGCTATAATTAAAGATATAATTATATATGATGTTACATAGTTATACATGATTTTATATAGATTCTTAAGCTCAGATTTTCTATTTAGAATTTTAAAGATTCTCTGATATTATTATTGTTAAAATCATGGTCTTACATCTTTTTGCAAACTGCTATAAAACTATAACTCTTCAAATTTTAGCTATTTATAAAAGTCTTTAATTTTCTTAAAATTTTATTAAACAAATAAATTTTGAATACTAAATACAGTCAGAGATTTTACTAAATATAGAAATTGATTCCAGAATGATCTATAAAGATTTGATTAGTTAACACTTGATACTTTTTCATATTTTTTCTTTTTTTTATAACAAAAAATCAACTTTGTAACATAGATTTTACAGCCAATACTATATAAACTAAGGATAAAGAACCTCTATTCTCAGGATCAATCAACAATATTTCAGGATCAACCCTCTTTAAAAAAATAAATGAGACTTAAAAATTTAAGAATTTTTAAATAAAGTTTGCAATTTAAGTACTTTAAGTGCTAATATTTTAGCTTTTAAATACTTTATTGTAAGATCTAATAATGTCAGTTTTTTGCTGAAAAAAGCTAGTTTGTAGTTAAAACAAACTTAGAAAGAGAAACATTAGCAGATTCGTCTTGCAAGAGTACTATATAATTTCTTTAGATCCTGGTGGTAATATCTCAAATCAGAATGAGAAAAAGCATTAGCAGGGTACTGTGCACTGATTTGGCAATAATTGTATTGAATCAGAAATTAGTAAAGACACTTTCAAGAATACTATTCTAACTATATTTGATATTAATGCTAATTAGATTAGTTCTGAAGCAGAAAAATATTAATGGTTGTACTCTGCAAGATCTTTATATTGATTTATTTAGTTCTTGAAATGAATAAAATTGAACTAAGAGGAGAAGAGCATTAGCTGATCATTCTACGTAGCAAATGCATCTTGAAGGAATCTCACCAATTTTGCAAGAACACTATGCTGACTTTTTTTGATCTTAGTAGTAATAAAATTAAACATGCAATAACTCTATACTAACTTCTTTAATTCTTTGTTAAAATATTTTTAGATCTGAAAAGAAGAGTATAGTGATATATTTGTTTTCTGAATTTAGCATTTTTGTAATTTAGACCATTCTCAAGCTCCTCTCTCAATAAGTTTATTGAATGATTTGATTAGTAAAAAAATTAATCGTGATTATTACCTCAGTCAAAAAAACCTGAAGCTGCGACCACCAATTTTTTTTCATAGAGCTATATTGATTGGATAAAATTTATCATTGATAAAGTAATCAGAGACTGCTCAAGCTCAAATGCTCTTTCATTTTATTATTATTTTTTTTATAATACGGATCTTTAATAAGACCATCATCACTACAAAAAAATTATTACCCTACTCTTCATGCTAAAACTCTTATAACAAATATAAAATTGATCAAAAAGTTGATATTTAAAGAATCAAAAATTATTTTTTATATGTCATATATATATTTTATAAAATATATTCTTGCATCATTATATTTTAATATTACTTCATTTAATGTTAAAAGATCCATACAAAGTTGCTTTGCCAGATAAGATTTTTTCTTATGATTTCATAGACATATATGTTCACAAAATCTGATCATAAAGGTTCAAAGAAATTACTGTGATATTCTTGCAAGGCACCTTTGCTAACTATTTGAGTTTTCAACCCACACTAATTAAAAGAAAGATCTAGTAAAGCTATTGGTGCAACAAAAAACAGGTAAGGCTAGTAGAGCTGTATATGTATTATATGATAGCTTTTTTTTTAAAAAAAATATATATAATAATTGTCTTCTTAAAAAAAATACAAGCACGAAGTTAAAAAAATATATATAAGTTACTAGTACATCTTTATTTCAGCAAAAGTTTTAATGTTTAAAGAACTTGTAAAATCGTCTAATATAAATTCTCAATTTGATTAGCCAATTATTGTAATATGCGAAACAATCTGAAATAAAATCTAGAATAATTCGATTAGCAATCATTACTAAATAAGGTGTGATCATTAATTACCAAATATGGTAAAATCTCTGACTAAAATAAAAAATGTTCTATTAATCAAAATAACTCTAGTTTTATAGAACCAAATTAGCAATTGTCTTAATAAAATTTTGAGTAAATAATCTCTAAAACTATAACTTTTCAAATTTTAGCTATTTATAAAATCTTCAATTTTCTTAAAATTTTATTAAGTAAATCGATTTTGTATATTAAATAAAAAATATTCTTCTAATCAAAATAGC